CTTGCCGCCATGATTAGAGCTCTATTATGGTGAAGATTCTGGTGGTGTTCATGACAGATTAAAATGTTCAGTTATAGTTTTTTCAGAAGCGTTTAAAAAAAAACCTAAAAAAAAAAAGAAAAAAAAACTTAGAAGTTTGATGATGCTGCTCTTATCTTATACTTGGGAATGGTTTTTAATTTTTAGTGAAATCTCCATTTAATTTTCTCTCTCCTATTCTAATTAGGCTCTAAATTATGATAATTAGTAGTGGGAGTTTCTTCTTTATGGGGTTATATAAATAATAAAAGTTCAGGGGTGCTTTTCACAATATAATAAGAATGATATCATTTTTCTTTCTTTGCAAAAGGAGGCTCAATCAATGCAAAATTGCACAATTTCTCCCAATTCCAATTTGGGATTTTACAATCATGATTGTTTTTTCTTCTTCTTCTTCTTCTATTCCTTTTATCAAAGAAGGGTCATTCATGTGCTTCTGCTTCCTCTCTTTTGTAAATTTTCCTAAAAATTAAAAAACCTTCAACTGTTCCTTCAATGGATATGAGATGCCATGGATGTTTGTGTAGGTGGACCTCACTCTATGAGCTGGGATCCTCTGTGGATTGCCCCACTCTCTTTTTCCCTTTTCCTTTTTTCCCCTCATCGGGTGAGAGAGAAATCGGAAATTTTATATCATCGTTATTTATGTTCAGTCATTTTGACATTTATTAATGCTGAGATGTGTGAATTTGAACTTCCGATCTTAATTAGTACGATTTGTTAAAGGAATCAAAATCAAAAGAAAAACCATCTTTGATGTATTTTACTCTAAATTGTATGTAAATATTACTCATGTTACATCAATCTTTTCATCAATATTGACAAAAAAAAAATTAACTTTAGAAATAAATAGTACAATTTTGTGAAGAGGGTGATTTAAAATTTCATAGAATAATGGTGGGGGAAGTAGTGGCATGTGAGCTAAAGTGTAAAGGTATAATTGGTAACTTACTTGATATACCTCATTATTAAATTAATGTTGGGCATGTGGTTGAATATTATTGAGAATAACATTGAATTCTTTCACTATTTTAATTTGGGTAAGATTTCATTATTGGATAAGTCTTGAATGTGTTATTATTATTTTATATATGAAATGAGATAAAATTGATTTTGGGTTTGGAGGGTATAATTGTAAAGTGGAAGAAATAGTTAAAAACTATAGATTGATTTGAGGTGGACTTTTTATGGCTTGATACAACTTCATCTTTTGTAATGCTGTCATTTATCAGTTTGATGTTGGTTTTGAATTATTTTGTAGAATGATTGTCATTGAAATTTATTTGGATGACTTTAATTTCTCAACCCAAAAAAATAAAAAAAAAAAAATCCTAGTGGGGACGAGCTTTTTTACTTTGATTTTCAACATGCCAAGGGGTGAAGAATATATTCTATATATTATTACTTCAATTATTTCTTTTTTTTTCCTTCAAAAAAGTGGAAATGAGGATAAAATTAAGATGTGAATTTGTTAGTAAACCATCACAAATGAAATGATTAAAGCTTAATTAATTGAAACAAAGAGCTTCCCACTCATCTCAAAACGTTATAAACAAAAACCCTAAATTTATTGAAATGTCAAAATCAAAGGGGTATATATGTTTTCCTTATGCCATGAATTTTCAATGTCAAATAACGAAAAAACGTCGTATTGCTATGACGAGACATTCAATTCACACGAATATGAAAAATTAGTGAATTTGTAAGAGAGAAAAAATGTTATACCTTCTAACTATACATCTAACAATTATGAAAGTAATGACCGGTCCGATGATTGGGGGACGAGAAGGGGTCGGCAAAACCTCCAATCAGCGGAATGGTGGTAGAGTATAGATGCTAAAAATCCATCATCTTGTTCAAACCCTAAAAAACAAATTCAGTACATTTTTGACACTGACCACCTAACTAAACTCTCCCTCTCTGAATTTAAAAAATAAAATAATTTTTTTATAAATGGAAGATCCAACGGTGGTGATGCTTTGATGCAAAAGAGTCTAGCCTAATCAACGGTGGAACCCACCAATCAGAAGCCTGCCATCTTCTGATCATCATCATCATCAAGATTAAACGCTTCACCCATCTGTCCAATCACAGAGTTATCGCAGTGGAGCCCCCATGAGGTCGCCAACACTGGATTACGCCTCCGAGATTTGATTTGCTGCGCCGCGGCGAATCCAGATCTTTCGTCGACTCGGGTTCTGATCCGTTAGATTGACAGAATATATCCAAAAAGTCAAAGATGTCAGAATCTTAATTTAATTATCTGCTACACGGGTGTAGAATGAAATGAATTTATTAAGGTTTAAATTTCAAAAATACCCTTAGACTTTGCAACTTATTTCAAAAATACCCTTAATTCTTCTAAAAGTTTCAAAATTAAATTCATTTCGTTAAAATTTCAAGCAAACATTCGTTAATATTTTAAGACATAAAATTGATGTAATAAAATTTAGAACAATATTGTAATTAACTCGACGGTTAACACCTTGGTTTTGTCCTAAAATCTTTCGTCCTACATTAAAAAAAGTTTACTAATCCTCTTTCAAAGACAATAGATTGTCCAGTATTTCTTCCATTTTTAGATGGCAAACTTCATTAATTGTAAGTCGTTTTAGCTTCTATCACGTGAGTTTTTAGTTCAAGATATTAATAAATATTCTCTTTACGAAATTTTTTTAACATTTATGATACATAGAGATAGTATTGAAATTTTGAAAGGAATAAAAAAAGTATTTTCAAAATTGTTTCTAGCCCTGTTTGGATACGAGTTTAAGGTAATCATAATTTTGGATGGATCTTAGAATGGGTCGGACCCGGATCCGAATTATGGGAACGGAGGATTGCGATTTCTGCAAGGTAAAAAGAAAAAAGGAGGAAGAAAAAGAGATTCAAAATATACTGCGGAGTGTTTTTGGCTTTCACTTTTCTTTTTCTTCCTTACTTCTTATACAGGTTTGCTCTCTTACAACAATGGAGATTTTTTCTTTTTCTTTTTTTTTTGTTTAATTATTTTTTTAAGCTTTAGAGAGAGAGAATTGTAATCACTCATAGGGAAGAAGAAAAAACTACTCTACTGCCCATGTTCAAATTACAAGAAAAAAAAGTACTTTAAAAAGTTTTATTTACTTAATATTTTGTTTCTAACTCTAATTTTGATTCTAAAAAGACATTTTTGTTTAAGATAATTTTACTTCGATTGTGGAATTGATTGGATTAACCAAGGGCCTTTTGGTATCATGCTACATTAGGACCGAAGGGCCTTTTGGTATCATGCTACATTAGGACCGAATTGGCTAAAAAAAAATTGATAGAATGAGAGACCTTTATCTAGTGAACGTTTTGGTTTATCAACCGTTATTTGTTGTTTATTTGTATGTCAAAACTATTATTCAATAGTTTATTTAGTATCCCAGATTAATATTTAAATAATAGTATTAATTGCCATGAGTTATAATAAAAAATATGTTGTAAAAATTTGTCAATAAGTAAATAAAATTATATAAGTTTAAAGATTAAAGATAAAATTTCGTGGATTGGAATCCTCACCCTCACATGATGTTGTAAAATATATTTCTAAAGCTAAATTTAGAAATTGAGAAATTAAAAAACCAGAATAAGTCAAAAGTTGTTGAATTAAAATAGGATTTCAATCTTAAATTTTTAATTTCTTAAGGAATTTATTGTTTTTTTAGGAGGGGTTTAATTTGACGGAGCATTGACAAAGAGAGAAG